TCCAAACGGCGTGGTGAAGGCCGTCTTTTCTTTGGACATTGGAGATAAGGGGATCTGCCAATATCCCTTCGTTAAATCCAGGGTCGAGTAAAATCAAGCAGCACCCAGCCGATCAAGCAATTCGTCAACCCGCGGCATTGGATACGTGTTGAACTTCGACACAGCATTCACCTTGCGATAATCCACACAGAACAGGACCGACCCGTCCGTTTTAGGCACTAAAACTATCGGGCTCGCCCAATCACTGTTGGATTCCTCTATTACTCCCATATCTAGCATGGCCTCTAATTCAGTCTGATATGGCCGGCTGCGCACCACCACGCCCGGCTCCGAGATGGTAAATCTGATGTACTCCGCTCCTGTCTGAGCGCACTACCTCATAATTGAGATCTCCAACTCGCCATGTGACCTCAAAGGGTCCTTGCCACTTGGCGAGTAATTTGGAACTAGAAGCGAAGGTCCGTCCTCCCAAGCTTCTCATAGGACGTCCAACACCCCACGGGGCTGACGTCCGTAGAGAAGCTCAAAGGGGGAAAACCCCGTGGAGGCTTGGGGGACCTCGCGCACAGCAAACAAGAGGGGTTCCAGCCATTTGTCCCAATTTTTAGCGTCTTCGTGAACGAACTTCAAATCATGGTTTTTAATGTGCAATTAAATCGTTCGACCAGACCATCTGTTTGTGGGTGATAAACGCTGGTGCGAATAGATTTAATGCCCAAGAGTTCGTAAAGTTCGCGGGTACATACTGAATTTCACTTTTACTGTCCGAAGGTCCATCCTCCCAAGCTTCTCTACGGACGTCCAACACCCCATGGGGCTGACGTCCGTAGAGAAGCTCAAAGGGGGAAAACCCCGTGGAGGCTTGGGGGACCTCGCGCACAGCAAACAAGAGGGGTTCCAGCCATTTGTCCCAATTTTTGGCGTCTTCGTGAACGAACTTCAAATCATGGTTTTTAATGTGCAATTAAATCGTTCGACCAGACCATCTGTTTGTGGGTGATAAACGCTGGTGCGAATAGATTTAATGCCCAAGAGTTCGTAAAGTTCGCGGAGAGTCCGTGACTACACTTTTCGCGGAAATGCTGCGGAGTGCCACTGCCTCTGGGT